GCCACAATACCAGGCTTTTTTTTTTTTTGTATAGTAGGCCAGATTTGAACCTAGCAGGCCTGGAGCATGTGGCTTGTGCCCTAACCACTGAGCAACGGGCATCCAGCCTGTTCTTATATTTCACATAAATGAAATCATACTGTATAAGCTCTGTGTCTGTCTCCTTTCACTTAATACATTTTGAGGTTCATCTATATTATATGTAACAGTAATTTTATTTTTACTGCTAATTCATTATGAATACTCCAGTTTATTTATGCATTCTCTTATTGGTGGATATTTGGCTTGTTGCCAGTTTTTTGTTACATAAATATGTACATTCTTTTACAAGTCTTTTTGTAAATACATGCTTCCATTTATGTTGGGTAAACACTTAGAGTGAAAATGCTGGGTCATATAGTACATGTACATTTAACTTTAGCAGTGGATAAGTTCCACTTGCTCACAACTTCACTAAACTTAGCACTTAAGCTCTATGTATTTTTCAGCCAGGATGATATAGTGAGACCCCATCTCTTCAAAAAAGAAAAAAAATTAGGTAGATGTGGTGGTGCATGCTTTTAATTCTGACCACTTAGCTGGGAGGCAGTGACTTGATTGTGCCACTATACTCCAGCCTGGGTAATAGAATGAGACTAAAAAAAAGTGTCTCTGAAAAAAAGGAATGAAAAGGCTTGGCACCTGTCCCACAGTGGTTACAGCACTGGCCACATGCACTGAGGCTGGCTGTTTGAGCCCAGCTAAACAACAATGACAACTGCAACCAAAAAAAAGCCAGGCATTGTGGCAGGTGCCTGTAGTCCCAGCTACTTGGGAGGCTGAGGCAAGAGAATTGCTTCACCCCAAGAGTTTGAAGTTGCTTTAAGCTGTGACGCCATGGCACTCTCCCCAGGGTGACACAGACCCTGTCTCAAAAAGAGAAAAAGAAAAAAGTCTGTGTATTGTATTGTATTTTGAATAAATTATAATAAAAATATCAGAAAACATGTATGTTTTTATCTGCCCAGAAAATAATTGCCATCTTTGAGTATCTTTATCAGAAACTATGTTGTAGATACAAGGAACAAGACAGAAAGTTTGGTAATCTACCCTTTTAATTAAATTGAATTATATAATTTACTAGAATTTTTTCTGAAAAATCACTCTGAAATGAAATGAACACTGAAAAATTAAAGGAATAGGCTGGCTTGGTGCCAACCACATATACCAAGGCTAGCAGATTTGAACCCGGCCAGGGCCAACTACAACAAAACAACAACAAAATAGCTGGGGGTTGTGGCGGGTGCCTGTAGTCCCAGCTACTGAGAGGCTGAGGCAAGAGAATCGCTTAAGCCCAGGAGTTTGAGGTTGCAGTAAGCTATGATGTGACAGCACTCTACCGAGGGAGACATAGTGAGACTCTGTCTCAGAAAAAAAAAAAAAAAAGGCTGGGTGCAGTGGTTCAGGCCTGTAATCCTAGCACCCCAGGAGGCCACAGCAGGTAGATTGCGTGACCTCATGAGTTTGAGACCAGCCTGAGCAAATGTGAGACCATGTCTCTACTAAAAATAGAAAAACTGAGGCAAGAGGATTGCTTGAG